TCTCTCTCTCTCTTTCTCCTTCCTTCCTTCCCTTTCTTTTTCTCCTTCCTTCCTTCCCTTTTTCTTTTTCTTTCTCCCTCCCTCCCTCCGTCTCCTTCCTTCCTTCCTCTTCCTCTCCCTCTCCCCCCCTCTCTCGGTTTGGCACGACCATCCTCTCTTCTCTCCCAACCAGATCCTGAACAATCACCCTCCTTGCCAGCCCTGCCCGCCTCCCCAGCAGGCAGCTGAGGCCTGGCGCTCCCTCTGTCAATAAGAAAGTGCAGCCAGGCAGGTGCTGGAGATGGCAGGGCGGGGCGCCTTCCCCCGCCTTGGCTGGTGTTCAGGTGGCCGTTGGAGGTGAACCACGTCCAGGCAGGAGGGCTGGTGTTGCCACCCAGTTATCAGTCGAGCCTGAGGGGCAGGTGTGGGGCAGGATGAAGGGCAAGGTTGGCAACCTTGAGTTGTGGTGGTGGTCACAGCAGCTTAGATGATCCCAGAAGGTGGAAGCAGGAGGACCTTGGGAGGGTTGGGGGGGGGATTGAGGACCACAGCAGGTGTGCAGAATCCCCCCCAATTCATGCAAATTCTCAATGCCATCTTTCAAAGGCAACAGATGGACAGGTGAGCCCAACCTGGTGAAGGCGCCCGCCTCTCTCGGTTTCTCACCTGACCTTCCCAGGCTTTTGAAATCTTTAATCAATAACCTCTTTGCAATGCAAATGAAGCTTTTGCTCCAGGCTGGGTTTATCTTCACTTTGTTTTCAAAAGTTCTCCTGGGCCTTGTGCAAAAAAAAACTTGAGATCTCCCTGAAACGCAGTGAACTCTTACACGGTGCATCAAAGAGCTTGCTTAACAACTAGGCTGTTTACCAGAAAAAAAACCAGGCCTGGTTTGCATCCCGCTCTAAACTTCAAACCATGATTTATGCGACGGAATGTTTAACCCAGGCATGTGTGCCTTTATGCAAATCGCCCTCAACGGCTGCAGTTTGCATGGGATTTGAATGCGCAATCTAGATTTGTCACCATAGGTACCGTAATAATACCCTTGGCTTGGCGTGATTGAAGGCAAGCACATTCCTAAATATATTTTTTTTCTCTCTTCCTTTTTAGACCTACATCTTCACGGATGGCGAAGACAAAGAACTCAAGCAGAGAATTGGTGAGTTGATGGATTTCCTCTTAGGCAGGTGTGGAAAATGCCCCTTTCTTACAGACCCTTCTGGTGGGATTCCCAGGGAATGGGGTGATTAACTTTCCCGAGGGAGGGGGGAAGGTGGATACTTACTCAGTGAGTGTTTAATGGGACCCTCCCTCCCTCCTCCTCCTCCTCCTCCCAGGCTAGTTCAGACCCTCCTATTCTCCTGATGCTAATGGGCTCTATTCATGCCCACAATGGATTCCTCTCCAGACAGCCAAAGGAGTAGCAGGTGGCAAATGATGAGAAAAGTTGGGCTTGAATAGCAGGACAAGGACTTCTCCCCCTGTTAAAAGGGGACTGGAAAGATCCAGTTTGCTGTTCCACCTCCCACATTTTCCTTTCTGAGTTAACACTTGGCTGGGTTAAAAGCTGGGAACAAAAGAAGCTCCGTTTGGTCAACAAGAAGGAGAGGAGAATATATCTGAGTTTGTCTTGGCTAACATTTAAACATCTGCAGAAGGTGGCTCCTAGTCCACATTTGTGGAGGAAATGTTCAGGGAATTACTTGAAGCTTTAGCTACTAGGAAGACATGCAGATTCTCCATAATCCAAGGTCATGGTTGTCCCAAAGGTGCTTTTTTTCCAAAAGGCAACTGGACTTTGCTTTTTGCTGACCCAGGGATGACAGTCTTGGTCACAGGGCTGGATCATTCCTCTAGCTGAGAACTTTAGCAATATCCTAAGCTGCTCAAGATGGATCGATAGATGTAGGATAATGGAGAACATCATAAGCCAAATGGGTTTACAAGGGGAAAAATATCCATAGTTGGACATCTCTCTTTTTGAGGACCATCATAATGTCCTCAAAGAGTATGAAAAATGTTTGAAAAGTATCCCCTTTGCTGATCCTTCTCATGTTATGGATTTTTGAATTCAGCTATAGTAACTTCACCTTGAATATTTTTCCTTGTCTCTCTCTTCAGGAAACGTTGTCAACACCAATTGTTCTGCTGCTCACAGCCGTCAAGCCTTATCCTGCAAGATGTCGGTGGAATATGACAAGTTCATTGAATCTGGACGAAAGTAAGAGCAAAGAAGAGGTTGGGTGAGGAGGGAGTTGAAGCTGTGGTTTGTAAAGCTGTAGGATCTGGGCTCCCTTCTTTTGGAAGGGAAATCAGTTCAGAAGTGGAACATCTCCTTGATCCATGCAAGTTCAATGTTGGCACTTAAATGGAGGAGTGAATTCTTCTCCGTTGTCCTTCTTGAATATGGTCTGGATGTGGTGATCTTGCCCACTGAAGTTCAATTAAAATGCTTAAATTCTAGAGTTCTTAGGCTGATTTCCTAATGGATCAAAGATCAGAGATCCAAGCATCTTTGAATTCTCTGGTTCCTGACCTAACCTCAGTCTTGTTTTCATCCTTGCATTAGGTGGTTTTGCCATGTGGACGATGATAATTATGTGAATGTCCAGATGCTAGTCAAACTGCTCTCCAGCTATGTTCATACGCAGGATATCTACATTGGGAAACCCAGTCTGGACAGGCCTATCCAGGCCACTGAGAGAATCAGTGAGAACAAGATGGTAAGCCAACAAGGAGAATGAGGGGACTTGAGGGTCAACATTCAAGGTTGTCCATGTGCATCTTCTGAGGGACTCTCCTGGTTCAAAGGAGGCGTCCCTTTCTTGGAGAAGACCTTGGATGGGATTCTCTCCTTGGGTCCCAACTAGTCTCTGGGAAGTTGGCCAACATTTTGACTCCATGTACTCTTTGGTGTCAAAGAAGAATTTCTTGAGTCTTCATCTCTTGATTCTTTTCATCCCACAGCATCCGGTCCACTTCTGGTTTGCCACTGGTGGTGCTGGTTTCTGCATCAGTCGTGGTCTGGCCCTGAAGATGACCCCTTGGGCCAGGTAAGAGACTTTGTTTTGTTGAGTGTATAGTTGTTGCAATAGACAAACTGGAGGATTAAAAAATAAGCAAGATACACACGTCAGCCACCCCTGACACATCTCAATGGAGGTGATGGGTTACAGATCAAACTCAGTGTTGTCTATGGGCTATTAGCATCTTGGATGCAGAAAGCCGTTTCTTAAAAGTATAAAGCAAGATACTTACTGGGACACGAAGGTTTTAGAGCTTTGTGCCTCCTTAATTTTCCAAATTTCCCTACGCTCTGCGCTTAACCTGTTGGAAACCCAGTTGTGACTTATTGAAATCATGGTTGAAAATGACACACGAATCCCTCACCTGACATTCCCTTCCTTTGGAGAACCACATTATTGAATTGTACTTGCACTTACACCTACACAAATATAAATGTTATGGCTTTTAATGTTAGATTTTCATCCTTTTTGTGTTTTCAAATTGCGAGCAAATGGAATAACGAAAAATCTTGCCCGTTTTCTCTCCCTCCTCAATTCTCTTCCCTCCCTCCCTCTCTTCAGCGGTGGGCACTTCATGAGCACGGCGGAAAAGATTCGTCTCCCTGACGATTGCACCATTGGGTACATCATAGAATCTGTCCTGGGGGTGAAACTGATCCGAAGTAATCTCTTCCACTCCCATCTCGAGAACCTCCATCAAGTGCCCAAATCAGAGCTCCATAAGCAGGTAAAAATGCTAAAGGATTTAAATCATCCAGGCCCAGAAGCAAAACATAGAAATACAGATGTTATCAGAGGTTGGAAATCTGGGTCAAACTTACCCCAGCTGAAATCATCCTGGGAGGAAGGCTACAAAGTTGGCCAGGAGACCCCATCTCCCCCCCCCACCCAAAATATACGTTCTGATGAATTGATATTTTGGGATGGACAAACCCATTTTGGCAGCCACTTGGGGAGAATTGCTAAAGGAATAACAGTGTTGGAAGGGACCTTGGAGGTCTTCTAGTCCAACCCCCTTGCTCAAGCAAGAGACCCTACACCATTTCATATAAGTAGTTGTCCAGTCTCTTCTTGAAAACCTCCAGTGATGGAGCACCCACAACTTCTGGAGGCAAGCTGTTCCACTGGTTAATTGTCCTCATTGTCAGGAAGTTTCTCCTTAGTTCTAGGTTGCTTCTCTCCTTGATTAGTTTCCATCCGTTGCTTCTTGTCCTGCGTTCAGGGGCTTTGGAGAATAGCTTGACTCCCTCTTCTTTGTGGCAGCCCCTGAGATACTGGAAGACTGTTATCATGTCACCCCTCGTCCTTCTCTTCATTAAACTAGACAGACCCAATTCCAGCAACCGTTCTTTGTATGTTTTAAAGAGAAACATCTCTTTGTTGCACTTGTAGCTCAAATCTTGCATTTTTTCCCTCCTCTTTTTTCCAAGGTTACTTTGAGTTATGGGATGTTTGAAAACAAGAGGAATTCCATCCATATGAAGGGGGCTTTCTCCGTGGAGGAAGATCCTTCCAGGTGAGAATCATATCTGTCTGTTATCTGAATTAGCTGAAATTTACACCGTATATATATATTGTCACCCCTAAACAAGCGAATCGCTGCGCTGCTTAAGTGAATAACCCGGTCCATTGACTTAATAGTAGTAATAATAATAATAATAATAATGATGATGATGATGATGATGATGATGATGATGATGATGATGATGATGATGATGATGTTGGAAGGGACCTTGGAGGTCATCTAGTCCAACCCACCCCGAGACATTGTAATTTAGATCACAACCTGTGTGCTGATTTGGATTAATCCCCAAATCCCCTTTTTGTCTTCTAGGTTTCGCTCCATCCATTGCTTGCTGTACCCGGATACGCCTTGGTGTCCTTCCAACGTCGTTTACTAAAAATCTCGACGTCCCCTTAACCTCGTCCCGAGATCCTCGGTATCCGAAGAGCTTCTGGGACCTGTATTTTGTATCACTAGTGTGTGCGTGTGTGCGTCCTTTGTTTGCTGTGAAGCAATGAGCTCCTAATTTACGGTGGTTCATTCACAGTGTATGTGTGTTTCCTCCGGCTGCTGTGTGGTCTTGTGTTCCTCGCTGTCCACGCGGTGACTATCAGGGTATCAATATTTTAGAAGCTTCCTAATGAAAGAACAATTGTTACAGGTTTTTTTTTTTTTTTTTTACCAGCCCTCTCCTCCTTTGCAAGGGCTTCAGGCTGGTTGTGTATTGTGAAAAGGTCTTTTCTGTCTGCCATCTGCTGAACGCAACGCTGGAGGTTTCTTGGCGAAAAGGCTTCCTTTCCCCATCATATAATATTCTTTTCTTTCCGTCCATTTCTTACGAGCCGTAGTGCCCAGAAAAGCCCAAACCACTGCAGGGTGCAAACGGCCAAATCTGAAATGCTTTTAAACCATGTGTTGTGGCAGATGCTAAGCTGATCTAGAATTGCCCCTGTTTTAACCGGTCGCATCAAAGAAACGGCAAGCGTTTCTCAAATTTGCAACTTTAAAAGGGGTGGCTTTCAATTCCCAGAATTCCCCGGCCAGCTTCCATGTCAAGCGTACTGGCTGGGAAATTCTGGGAGCTGGAAGTCCACCCTTCTTAAAAAGCACAGGCTGGGGAATTCTTGGAATTGAAGTCTTAAAGTTGCCCAGTTTGAGAAACACTGGACTAACGCTTAACCTGGTTATGTAGTGGTTTGGGCTGTTTGAGGCCATCAACACCTGCAAGATGGGTGTTCACAGCCTCGGAACCAACGTCTGGATGCCATCTTGCAGATGTTCACCCACACCTCTCCTCCCAAATCTGCTCTTTTTCAGCTGGGGTCCTTTGGCTTTGTGGTACTCCCCATTCCAAATCTTTCTGGCTGGGAACTATTGGATCGGGAATCTAACATAGCTTGAGGACGCCCGCTTGAAGAAAAAGCAACTTTTGGCCATCAGTTGTCTTTCTTCCAATTTTTGCCCACCCTTTTTTCCCATCCTGCTTGTTCCTTCCTGCTTTTTCAGGCTCCGCGTAATTTTTCAGATGAAGGTTTACATAGGAAACAGACTTTTGTTGATTTGCTCTGTGTGTGTTTTTGTAAATGTTTGTTGGGGGGTGTTTTGGGGTCGTTCCTTTCCCCCGTACTATGTGTAGATTTCCCTCTGAGAGGTGCTTTTTTTTTCTTCTCCTAAATTCATTAAGAGCTGGTCTCTTGAACACTCGCTGTTTTCAGTTGCACTGAAGGGAGACTCAAACGATAAAAGAGAGTTTTTTTTGGCAAGGAGCTATTATCTAATCCTTTTTACCCTGGCCTCAATGCCTTTACTGAAGCTTGGTGGGCTTCTTACAAGTAAATAGGCAAAGGATTGCAAACTGCACCTAAATCCAGAACTATGGAACGCAGCCAGGCAGAATTAAATAAATATTCAATACCAAATGTATAAGCAAAGAGTTGATAGCAGATTGGAACGCTACAGCTCCATAAATCCTCAATTCCAATCTTAATTTATTATTATTATTATTATTATTATTATTATTATTATATTATTATTATTAACAAACACTTACTTGGCTGTATTCATAGTCCTGTCTTGCTGCACAAATGACAACAGAAGCCTATGTAGATTCAGAATTTTAGATCCTTTGGAAGATGCAATTATTTTGATTCTACTAAATATATATATATAAAATGAGCAATCCTCTGTGGAATTTACTCAGGAGGAGATCCTACCCTGTTGAATGGGATCTGTTCCCAGGAAAGCACAAAATAGGTGGCCCACGAGATAGGGCCCCAACTGAATTAATATTTAAGTAAGTAATTTAAGTAATATTTAATTTTACTTACTGTAAGTAAGTCTTTAATTTTATGGACCAATTGGGAGGAACCAGTGTCCGTTAAAGCCAAATGTTCGTTAAACCCAACATTATGTAACGCCTGTGAATGTTACCTGATGTTCATAATATTTATGTTATATACCCATGTACTTTACAAAAAAATATATGGGCGCGTGGTCTGATTTACGAAACAGCAGACCAAGCTGTTGTTGACTGAAATCGCCCAAATTCAGATATTGTCTGTAAAATCCAAAGTCTGTTGAATCAGGGTCTGTAAAATTGAGATGTTATCGTAGCAACATCCAGACTCAGCGTTTTGTGATTGGTAGAGAATGACTTGTGTTATTAATTTAAAAGGACTATAAAATGTTGGAAGCAATGAGGGATCCTGTATTCCTCTTGTAAGTTGGACGTGGTGTTGATTCACCGTCTCCCTTCGTTGTAACGCCTCTGTCTTTGGGCCAAGGTGATTTGGCTGCAGCATTTGCACCCCAAGAGTTGCATTTAACTCTCCTGCAAAATGCCACATCGCCTTTTCTTCCTAGGTCCCAAAGGCAGAGATGGAGAGCCAAAAGCTTCCCTTGCAAACGAAAAGAAAAAAACAAAAAACAAAAAGAGAGGCCCATACTGGGTAGTGTTTGTAAATATTTTATTGCAACAGTGTTATTTACTGTGCCTTTTTTTTTTTAAATGTTGAGTCCTGTGTGATTTTGTCAAAAGTGCGTTTAAAAGTGGTGGATCAGCAAAAAAAAAAAGAAAGAGGAAAAACTGTTGTTTTTTTTCTTGGTCTGTTGAAAGAACAAAAATATGGAAAAAGTTTTATGTTGTTTGACACTTGTCTGTAATTTATAAATCCCAGTATCTGGGATGTTGCTTTCTGTAAAGTACTGTACATATATAATGTGACTCTCGCTATAAATATTAAAGAGGAAAAATGCAGCATGTGTGGGAGGGAAAGAATGATTTAATATTCTCAGGGAATTAAACCTGATCACCACCACAGAGTGCCTGTGGCTGATGTCTTCTCTGTGCTTTCAATAAAAGAATTTGTTGGCTAATTAATTATTTGCAGCTCTTCTTTTTTTGGGGGGACCACTTATTGCTTTCTCTGCTTCCTGGGGGATTCTGGGAATTGAAGTCCACATGTCTTCAAAGTTTCACACGTCTTCAAAGTTTCCAAATTTGAGAAAAACCAGAAGGTCCCTCCCAACTCTGTTATGCTGTTCTAAATCGTAAGAACTAATCTAGCTTGTGCCTAGAGCCTTGGGATCCAGGAAGAGGAGCTGGTTGGACTAGAAGACCTCCCAAGGTCCCTTCCAGCCCTGTGATTCAGTCTGATTGAGGAATTTACAGGTAGTTCTTAACTTATGACCACAATGGAGCCCAAAATTTCTGATGCTAAGCCAGACCTTTGTTTTGCCATAAATCGAGGACTTATTATATGCTAATTCTATCTGAATTTTAATGGAAGATGGTGCTTGTCCATGGAGAACACAGGCAGGTGCTGCCACCTTGTGGACAGAAAGGGTACAACCCACCAGGCCCATTGAAAAGGAAGATAAAGCCATTCAAAGTGAGTAATGAAATAGAGGCGAGTATAAACCATTCATTAGCCAGAGAGCATCGCCTTTTCAAAGTTGTTTATTTTAAAACATGAAACCCAAGCTGAATAGAAACCACAGGAATTACACTTAGAATCGTTTCTCTTGTAATATCTGCAGAACAGAAAGGACACAAACCGGTAAAAAAAAACAAAAAACAAAAACAGCTACAGTACAATGTCATAAAATCAACCAAAAGTCAAAAGAAAAGTTTTTCAAAAAAAATAATCGTGGTCAGGCTGACAGCCACCCCCCCCCTCCATCGTTTAAACCCCCGCGAAACTTCAAAAACATTTTGGGGTCCGGTGGAGAACTTTGAAAGAAGCTAAGTCCTGTCTAAAGGCTTTTAAAAAATTATATTTATATATATTTTAATATACATATATTATATATGTATACAGAAAAGTAGAAGGCTGTATTATTAACCATTGTGGTTTGAAGCAAAACCCGATTTGAAAATGCCGGCCAGAGTTTGACTTGGTAGAATTTGCCGCACCTCTCAAAAAATAAAAACAAAATAAAATAAAATTGGAGAGCGACAGAATTAAAGTCACAAACAATTCCCAGGTTTATGTCTCTTCATGAACGGCGGAGAGGAAAACAGAATCGCGGGTTGCCAATGGACCACAGCACCAAACTCAGACGGCTCTTGTGCCTTTCGTAGTCCTGGCAGGTGGAAATCAGGTGAAGTTTGGCCCTGCATCATAAAGAGTTGGCATCGCCTGCCAATTTAGGATGCGGGTTGGATGGGTAATAAACCAGGATTCTTTGCAACTGGGGCTTTAGTGGACCTGTTTGCAAGCCCCAATATTGGCCACCCTAATAGAGAGTTCAATGCAAAATTTATTGACGTGGGGGAAGAGAATAAGACAGGCCCGTTCTTGACCACAAAACAACAATATTCCCGGGAAGGAAATATTCCTCGGGGAAGGAAATCAAAGCTTTGCCACGTTGGGGACCAGCAGCTCTGAGGGATTACAATTCCCAGAATCCCCACCCAAGCTCCCTGAAAAGCTGAGTTGATTCAGGGGGACGGGTGTCCAACCCAACTTGAGAGATGGATCCGGGTGTACTGGAGAGGGAGGAGTGCAAACAGGAGGAACGCCCTCCTTGCATAGAGAGAAAAGTGTGGTTTGTTGAAGACACAAAAGCACCAAGAACTAGCCTGAGGCTAGTCCAAGCAGCTACTGCTGGTTGTTGTTGCGTTAACAAGGTAAGAAAATGTCCAGCACTGCTTACTGCGGTCCACGCTTCAGCCCTGATCAAACGGGCTCTAAGTTTGGTCTCTGAGGGTGTCGGTGTGTAGCTGTGCCATTTGGTCCTAAGTGCACCATTTTCTCTCTGAGAAACTCCCTTGAGGCTGGGAGATGGTTCACATGGGAAATCAGAGGACTAACTAACAAGGATGGGGTGGTCTTCCACCACACTAGGTCTTAGCCGATTGTGGAGAGGTCCCATCACTTTCTCAACGCCTCTCCTGGTGGCAGAAGGCGTCATCTCTCTCAACGAGAACTCATTCGCTACAAGCAGGAGCATCTGCCTTGGACTGAACCAAAGCACTGGTCCTCTTAACTCGGGACTCTTACCAATGGCTGGTGGTCAAGTTTTCTGCTCCATTTGGACCAGAGGACCTGGCCAAGAACCTGCCTTGTTACATGGAGATCGTTCCAGCTAGCAATGCTCCAAAGATCTCAAAGCTAGCTATGGATCACAATGACATGCCTACCACACCTAGGATCCAGAGATCTACTCCTTCAGATCTGAGAGATTCACTCTTAAAAGAACTTGGGGGATCATGCATGGTCTGAAGCCCCACTCTTTTGAGAAACATGCCTCAAAAATAAGCAGAGACCTAGATGGGTTTTTTGAATCCTGGTCTACCTACTTGGCCATCAATTACAGGATGAAGAATAGAAACAGAAGGCTGAAGGGTCATTTTTTCTTCTTCTGAAGAAAAGGCTTTTTTAACCCAATGTGGTCCAAGCCAGACCCTTCTAGGTCTCTTGAAGACAACAGCTTGCAAGCTGCAGGAAGCTGCCATCCACCCTTTTCTGTTGGCCTTCATCAGAGACACCTGAACTGGATCTACTCACTTGATACTTCAAGCTTCATACTTCTGGAGGAAGATGCCAGATTGATGGGGGAGGTAGCCAATGGAGCACCTCCCCTTACACCACAGCTCAGAAAGGGTGGGGTAAAGACCAAAGGCTGCACAACTCCAGCCTCGTTTCACCTCTATGGCTTTTAAAAGACTTTATTTTTTTGGCACAGATGCAGTTGAACAATGTCCAGAACCTTCACCGCAAGAAGCTTTTGACACGACCCGATGCACAAAATCCTAGGTCTCAAGTCTTTCAAAGAAGTGGGCACAACTGGTCAAGCGAGTCTTAAAGCAGATGAACCCCCAAAGCAACGTTCCTTCTGCTCTAGTGGCCTCCGTCTATGGTCAAAACTGAACGATGGACCAGACCCACCATTCAACCATCTCTTGACCTGGGTTGCTACAAGGATCACCCCCCCCACACACACACACCTTCCGCCCTTCCTCGCTGTTCAAGCTGGTAACACACAGATCACAAGGATGCCTTGGCCTTCTCAAACGCACTAAGCACTTAAGAGAAACACCAACAGATATTCCCAACTACTCAACTGCCCAGTAGACCTTAGGAAGCACCAGCATGCTTTGGGGAAAACATAGATCTTGAGTCTTTGATGGGCCACAGATGGACAAGCACAACAGGTCTACGCGGCAAGTGTGCTTGGTCGGAGCAGCAACTGAATTTAACGCACCCACGCTAAAGTTTCTGTGATGCTCCAGAAATTTTGTCCTTGGTAAAACTGTTCCACGTTTAGGCCAGGTTCAACCTTTCATTCCTATCCCTTCCATTCCAGTTAAGCTGGCCGTACCTGAGGTATTTAATTCACACATACCCACCAGATTTTTTTTTTTTTTAAATTGAGGCTAGTTGAGAAGATCCTAACCTTCAAGTTTAGATACATGGATGAATATCAAAAAAAATTTCTTTTTAACCTTAAACCTTTTCTCATCTTAAGAAGCCAAAGAAAATTCAAAATGAAGTCAGCTAATATTACAGACAGGATACAAAAACACGAACACTTTTGGACAGCACACAGAAAAATAAATTCACAGCCAAAAGTCTTGACTCGGTGTTGTTTTTTTTGTTTTTGTTTAAACAATTACAATGCAGTCTTCAACACTGGATGGGAGAAGTCCATCCCCATGCTATGTACATTTCACATTGTGGACAGACGCTTCATCAGCTTGAGATGGTCCACGTTTTCTTTAGGATTGCTGTGATGTTGTCGCAGGAAAAACAATTCCCTTGCCAATGGCTACCATCCCTCGGGAAGGAAGGAAGGAAGGAAGGAAGGAAGGAAGGAAGGAAGAGTTATAGGGCTCCATTTTTCCACTCCAACTTATTTGTCCCCCTACTCAACGTCACTTGAATTTCAGAACTTAGGCCAAACGGACCATAGGGATGGTTCCCCCCCCCCCATGACCAAGTGGCCAGAAAAGTCAACGACGACGTCCTGGGAGTTCTTGACTTGCAAAAAAACCCCAAAAAACAAAGAGAGAAAGCTAAGAGAACAGGAAAATAAAATATTTTGTGGGGTTCGCCTACTAGACCACAGAAGCTGGTGCAGAAGCCCTGATGAAGACACCAAGCCAGCCAACAGTCAACACTCTGCCAGCCAATAATTGAGGGAGGGAGGGAACTTGGCTCGGAAGGAGAGGACAGCCAGCCAGCGGTGAACAGCCCTTAGCAGTCGAAATGGTTTTGCCACGGATGCTTGGCACGAAGGAGAAGATGGGGGAGGTGCTCCCTGCTTCTCTTTAAAGGCATACAAGTGACCATGCACACTCACATTTTCTGAAAGAGAGCCATTCAGGCATGCTCCACCACAAGATCCAGCAACTGTTGGCGTCCCCAGCAATCCATATTTACATGTGTCTGTGTGTATAGACACACATCTAGTGGACTCTTGGCCCCGTCAAGAGAAGCACACCATACGTTGAGATGATTCTGTAATCTCGGTTAGCTGAAAAGTCTGGCTGAGTTCAAAGTCCCTGGAGAAAACTCAACCTGCATCGAACTCCGATCTGATAGCTTGGTCTTCTCCATGAGGTTGTCTTCTGCCTGTTGGAAAATGCTTCAGTGAGTGTTGGGCACACCAAGCTGAAGCTTCTTCACCATCGAAGCGATGGATCCTTCTCAGGAGAAAGTCACTTTCTGTAGTGGTTATTACAACCTATGTTGCTGCTGGTCCCTGCCTTAAGATGGTCATACTCCAGTTTTCTTCCATCTGGAGAAGACTGAGGAGGAAGGATGGTCTTCCTGCTCGCTGCAAACTAAACTACCAAGAATGTTCTTCTGAAGTTGTGTGATGATTCAGACAGCTCAAATTTTCTTTTAAGGGCACGCTTCAAAAGGTAGACTACAAAGGAATGTATTTCTGGGGTGTCACATTTGTACAAATACCTTTGGGGTTGGAAGCATGTCCAGTTCCTCTCCTAACACACCTGGGTGCTGAGCTGCATTCCTGGGACCTAGAGATAGATTGCAAAGCTGAGTAGGCTACCTGCACATACTCACAAACAATGGCTTACGTGACCCTGATGCTCAAGAAATACTAACAGTGGTTTTGTATCCTCTCATTCTGCTTGCAAGCTGCATCTAAGGATTTCAGAGCCTGCTAATAATCTAGGTTTTTCAAAGCAAGCAAGCAAGAAGGTGGAGGTACGTGTGGCCATCTCTAAAGGTGAAAGCAAGCAAAACTTCCTCTCAAATGTGCAAAACCTGAAAAGGAAGTCTTCGTGCTTTAAAATGAGAAGACCCAAGAGATAAACAAGAATAGGGTGAAACTATTCAATAGCCTAATCATCTCACATAGTAGGAACACCGGTAGGAGCCCTACAGCAATGGTTCTTCTTCCCAATTTGCTGCTCAGCTTTACTATCAACAAGTTAAGAAGCAACTGGTCCATAGATGGTCTTCAGATTAAAAGTGAGAGGCTAGCTGGATACCCCTTCCACTCCTGAACCCCAAAATTGTCTTCCCATAACAATATTTTATCTTTGCTTCCTGATTTAAGGATACAGGACCAGTGACAATCCTCCCTTCTCCATCTCACATCAACACTTCCAGGAATTCGTCTGTCCTAACTCCCCAAAGAAGCCCAAACAAAAAGCACGGAGAAGTCTAACCTAGTAGGACATCTTGGGAAGAAGCTGAGTTTTGCTGGTATTCTCTTTGCCTGTTGAATCCTTCTCCCAAAATTTGATCTTTCACAGCCCTCCCCTCCAATCTACAACGTCCTTCAATATTTTCCTGGAATATTTTGGCACCAAAAGAGTGGTAGTTTCCAGTGTGATGACTTCACGTCAGCTCAAAAGGTGTTTGGTGAGAGCTGGTAGGAAGTACAGACACAAAGGGAAAAAGGCAGATAGAGCACAGTGTGTGTTCCTATATGGATGTGTTTGTATGTGTATGCAAACAAGCACACACAATCAACCACACGGATGTATGATATACAGGAAGCCTTCTTCTCCTTCTCTCCGGGACTTTAAGTCCAGGCAGTAAAAGAGAGGAGTAAACTTGCCCTAGAGGTATCCAAGAACCGCAAAGGGTTAAATTAGTAGACCGTGTTGTAATAGGCAAGCAACCAAGGACTTGCCAAGATCCCAGGCTGGAGATCCACCAATGCTGGCAGGAGAACCGAGGAGGGATCTGCTGGCAAAGCCGCGAGTTATCTGAGCTTCATGGCGTAGTGGACATTAAAGATGGCTTTAGTTTCGGCGTGCCGTGTCAAGAGCACTTCCACCCCACGATCCAGTTTTAAGTCATCTGGTTCATCCAATCGTTTTCGACGGGTTAGAGAGAAGCCTTAGGGAGAAGATGGTCAACTTGGCATCAAAAGTGGATTCCCCACACAGCGAAGGAACACGGGGAGGCTTCAGCAGGTGGGCATGAGCACGTGGAGATGTCCCCTCTCTCTGAAGAGCGAGAACTGCGAGGGAACGGAGCCTGGAACTGCAATAAGCTTCTACGGAGGTGTCTTCGCGTGGACACGGGCCAAGCTGGGGAAGAAGCAGCAGCAGGAAATGCAACTGAGCTGGACCCTGGATTGGGGGAGAAAAGCAGGATAGATCTGCGAAGACCACAGAGACTCGCAATGTTGGCCCGTTTCGTTCCATGTTTCACTTCCAGGCGTTTTCAGTGCACGCTGCCAGAATCCGGGCGAGGCTGATTGGTGGCGAGATATTTGGCTCTCATGCTGGAGGTGTACTAGAGGAACGACAGAAACCAAAGAGAGAAACAAGAGGATTATCAACTCACACCTGTGGCAAGCACTACTTTAGAATAACAGAGTCGGACGGGACCTCGGAGGTCTTCTAGTCCAACCCCAACATTAGACTACTAGACCATCCCAAACGGTTGTTCGGTCTCTCCTTGCAAACCTGCAGTGTTGGAGCACCCACAACTTCTGGAGGCAAGTTGTTCCACTGGTTAATTGTTCTCCCTGTCGGGAAATTTCTCCTTACTTCAGATACAGTGATGATCTGATGGACCTTTGGAGAACTTTGATTAGTGAGCCAACACTCAACCGGAGATCACAAACCCAAGAAAACATGGCTTTGCAGATGTGTTAAAGAGCAGCGACGAAGGGCTTCGTGGGCAGAACCGCTAACCTTCCACTCCAAGAAACCCAGGGCAGAAAAATATCATCCTACAGACTTCAGTTCCACAGAGAACAGAACAAAATGCCTTAAAATGTGATTCCATTTCAAGTAGACAGATAGTCCTTCACTTAGGACCTGTTCCTAGTTAGGATGGACCTCCCCAGAACGCCTTATCACCCATTTTCAGAGTTATGATGGCCTCACGCACACAAACACACCCTGTGGTGACGTAATCACATTTTGGGTGCTTGTCTACTGGCTCACCTTTATGGACGTGTGCAGGGTCCTAAGTCACCTGGTCACCTGTTTTTTGCCAGATTCTGGTGTTGAGTTCCAGTTTCCAGCAAAAAAAACATCCAATTCTACTCTTTCTGTAAATGTTATCACAAATTTGTGTGCCTGAGGGAAAAGGGCAGAACTTTCTCATGTAGGTTTCATCACTCCGGTGAAATTTCTGGGTTCTACAGACACCTCTTCACCTTTCGTCTTATGCGGTTTAGCCACGACGGTATCCTTGCATCACCATGCTCTGGAGCCACATCTTGTGTGCCCTTCCACTGAAATCTAGGCTGGCCGTTTAGACCCCCCCAACGCTAAATATAACTGTCTTGGCTTCACTGCTTTTCAGAGAAATTGGCACTCTGGTTTGATCCCGGGTCCAACAAACAAGGTTTAGAACATCTGCTTACACTTCATACCCTAGCAAGAGACGTTGAGAACCTAGACTCAACTCTACTCTGTCAAGTCCTTTCCCAAAAAGAAAGAAAAAATGTTGTCTGAAATACACAGTTTGTAATACAGAACATTGAGAGAGAAACGAGAATGCCGTGAACCAACAGCCATGGGACCCTGGAGTTCCTGCCCCAAGGTTGGGTGGACCAAGCGATGCAGAAGCAGAGACCATCCCAGGAGAAGGAGGAGGCATTTGGAAGAGCACAAGCAAGCATGCACCCGATGGCATACACGGTTCCTCCTCATGCGTTGACCCATGCACGCCAAGCAAAGCATTGGTTTCTTTTGACAATTCACGCTAGAGCAGGGTTGCCAAGGTGGAAAAACCCAACTCTAGAGGTTCTCAAAGCATACAATGAAGCAAGAAGCCAGGATGGACAAACCAAGCAAATGGCAACGAGCAAGAAGCCAGGATGGACAAACCAGGCAGATGGCAGCAGAGATAAGGTAGGTGTATCTGTTCTTGGGGGATTTTATGCCCTGAACACAAAAGTTAGTATAAGTCTCCTCTCAAGAGTTTCCTAGATGTTCATCAGCTCAGAGGTATCTTGCACCAGTCTGATTTAATCACGATTTGAGCAGAAGGTAGCAAGCTAGCCCTTGCTGGTTGAAGACTACTGTTTTCTGGAAGGGTTCTGGAGGACCAGATGTTTCTCGCTGTAGGATCCTCAACTCATCTGCACTGAGGGGTACATCTGAAGGACTATGTCTAACTCTTGGTGGAATTCCACAGGATCTGTGTGTATCGAGAAGAATGTTATTAGCCATATTGTGGGAGATGAGCAGGAGACTAAGAACAATGAAAAACCCTGGTCTTCTCAGCTACCAGGGAGCTGTGTCCTGTCATCAATGGTGGAGCTTGGAGGATTAGTAGGCTGTTGGTAGCTCCCATACTCAAGGTTTACTTCTATCTTATGGATGCTGGAACTAAGAGGCACTTAGGAGATATGGAATTGGTCAGCCTCATGAACAAAACTAGGCTACGATGTGGCTCTTGGACCAATCAATCAACCCATTCAAATAATTCCTATTTGCTGCACCTTACAAACAGGGGCAGCAACCCCTAGCTTCTGAGATAAATAAGAACAAAACTTTGCCACTAGGTTAGCTAGTTTCTCTCAAGGAGGGTACGCCAAATTAAACTCTATCCCAGTTTAACCTAGGATTCAAAATGACAAGCAACGATACGTCGGCGTTGCTGCATCTCTGAACATGGTTCACCCATGGCTAAGTCAGGCAGAAATAAAAAGCTGGTTTAAAGCTATGAAATTCTGCTTGAGAATGAAGGGAGGCGGTTTCAAAACCCAGCTGGCTGAATCTTAAGGACTCTGGGTTTAAAATTTGTAAGGAGATGCTTCTGTTGGCAATTTTATGACACTACCTCGGCTATCCTGGGATATTGTTTCCAATAACTGGTTTTCAGCATCATACGCTGCCCTGAATCTCTGTTGCGAGATGGGCAGCTGTAGACACGACTTAAATAAATTAATCAACTTTTTAAAAACAAAAAACAACACACACACACAATACACGGCAGAGACCGTGACACAAAGGAAAGGAGATTTGGGGTGAGACAAATAAGGGTTTGGGCAAGGCAGATCTGCCACGTTTCGGTGAGCTAAGCTAGCTGAACAACCCGTGGGACTTCCAACGGGTGAGATGCCTAACCAGTCCAGTTTCAGATCCTTGGTGGTCTCCAACCTGAAGTTCCCAAGACAGCCAAAGAGAGGGGGGAGTTCTTTTGGATTGCAAAACTCCTGTTCCTCTTCAAGGGAGGGGAGGGGGCTTTGATTCTTAATGGCTACAAGGATTGTAGGGGGCTTAGCCATGAAAAGATGGGAGAGGCCCATCTACGATGGAGCAGTAGGGCATCAACCCTGGTTAGGAGATGGACAGGAGGGGAAGTGCAGGGAGAGGATACGTGGAGTCTTGGGCAGGTGACCTGAGGAAATAAGTGCAGGATGGCAGGATCGGGTGGGTGAGTGGGCGTTCAGCGAGAAGGACCTTATTTTTCAGTACCTGTTCCGTTTTTGCGGGCGCTGCTACCAGTAGGTCCGAGCACTGTCCGAGGGCTTAAGCTGCCAGCTCATATGGCTGCTACTGTCCATGGCAGCCAAATACAACTGTGATGATGCAGGAAAAGAGAGAAAAAGAGAGAGAGAGAGAGAGTGCAGCCTCAACGTGCATGAAAAACACAGTGCAAGCATGTGAACCGTTGCGGTGGGAATGTCAATGACGGGGGGTCAAGGCTACCATCCTTGGAGAACAGACCTGGGAGCCAGGAAGGGGAGGGAAAGGAAAGAAGGGATGACTCGGGACAAAAAAAAAAAAAGAGAGAGAGAGACAAACGATGAAGAAGACAAGGCTTGCCCTAGGGGAGAAGTCGGCTTGGTTTCCACAGGTTGAACCAAAAAGGAAGGAATCTAGTCTGCTTTCGTTCAGGACCCACTTATGGGTGGATCTCGTGACTGGGTGTCCGCAAACACCAACTTGGATTTGGGTCCAATTCAGCGTGCCTTAGCCAACTCTGATCTCATTGGAGAAGCTGGTGGAACGTGGTTTGGCCAAGTCACCCACTGGTTCTCTTGACAAGGCTACTTTTCCACAAAGCCTACTAAGAAAGAAGACTCCAGTCTCATTTACATAGTGTTTACCTCTTTCACATCTGAAGTAGACACCACCTCTGGGTGCTACAGAAGAACACTTCCATTTCTACAAGCAGTGGGAGGCGGGTCCTCTTCCCCTCAACCTCCAAAGCATGGACCCACCCTAAGATAAAACTCAAAACGTGCTGAGGCTACCACCTTCTATCGTGGTGGCAATGCCTATCTTCTTATATGTTGAGGTAGGACACCAAACGTATCTCTAATCCCAGGTCCTGAACTAAGACATACCGTGTAGCATTCCCATTGTATCAACTTGAAGCTCCTTCTTCCTTTGAAAGTCCATCTCTCTTTCCTTCCAGGTCTAGAACACAACACTGCTAGAGATGTCTTGAAGACCACAACTGCTTCTTTCCAATCTTCTGAGAATTAGGATTAGTTTTTTGTTTTTTTTGCCAATGGAGAAGAGTAGAAAAAAACCTCTACCACTACGTTCTGCCCACAAGGAACGATGACTCTTTAATAGGTTGTACTGAAGGTGCCCAAACACCTGTAGCAACAGATTCCATCACCACCATATGTATAGTCAGAAGAATAAACATTCCCCCCAAAAAGAATTTGCTCTAAAATGCTAACAGCTTGAATCTTTCTGAAATCCAAATGGTTCAGAATAACTGCACATATTTCTAATTATGGCTTGAACTGCTGGTCTAAGCATCTGTTTTCTCTTCACAAGACTAAAATCTCTTCTACAAGACCAGCCATTTTTTTTCCTTTAAAACAAAATTAGTTTTTGTTCTTTTAATATACTGAAGGCATAAAATATAACGGATCCCTTTGAAAAATATTCCACGCTGGCAGAAGAATTGTTGCCAGCAGCACACAGTATTGAACAAATTGAGATATAAGATTGCAACTCAGGAAATTAAAGCAGAAATAAAATCAGGGTTTGTTTTTTTTAAATAATATTGTCTTGCCCAAAGAGAATCTTCCATGAAATATGTGGTTTTTCTTTCTGGAAATCAGATTCTCCCTCCCCAAAAGAAGGAAATTATGAATATTAAAACCCAAAATGAAATCTAAATAGAGAATGAAACATGTTTCTAGGTTTCCTTCAAAGCAGAATTTGGTGTCGCCATAATTCCACGTGCCCCGTGGCCAAACATTATTGGCTCTTTTCAGGATATGAGACCGCTGCATAATTCTGTTCACGGTCCACAACTCCGTGGAGGCCCCATCACCAGAATAATGTTTGTTTTCTGGGTGTGTTTTGCAGGTGAGTTAAGGTAAGAGTGTCTGCTGTAAGACAGGGTTCCATACTTAATGATGAGAAGTGGGTGGGTGGGCTTCTCTCTTTGATTCATGAATCAGACCCTCGTAGGAGGAAAAGACCCAGCAGATCTTTGTAAAGGTCTCCCGAGCAGATGGTGGTTTTACCCTTTCAGAAAAGGAAGATGGGACTTACAGAAGGAGGTGGAGATTCCCGGCCGATCAGAGGAGTGTTCTCACAACGGGGATTCTGGAAATTGGTATTCTGGGTCCTGGGGGGCAAAAGAATCATATTGAGAACTTGGGAATGTGATGTGATTCAAGATCTCAAGGGCGACTGATGGGAAAGGCGTAATCTCTCGGAAAACCAAGCTGGCTGGGGAATTCTGGGAGTTTGAATGCCACACCTCTCCAATCCCACACCTCTCCAATTCCACACCACGCCCAGGTTGAGAAGCATCGCTTGAAACTCAGCTGATCTCCTCCAATGATGTTCTTCTCGTACTTTCTGAAGTTGGGGGACGGTGGCAGTCACAAATTGGTGGCCTCGATTCTGGTTATCTCCACAACCCAGAATGATTAAAATCAGGGGTGTCCGATGAATGGAAGTCATTTTACATTAGTTCTGGGTGCCAGTTTGTTTACTTATTTATACTTCATATTTCTTAACCACCCGTCTCCATGCAGTTTCTAGGAATTCGATATGGGTCAGTAGGTGGGAGTTTCACGAATCCTGGCTCAAACGCAGTCATAATATCGGGCAGCGGTGCTGTTTTTGCCCTGTTGTCCTCTCTTTCTCTCTCCCTCTAAATCAGGGGTCCCTAAACATGGCCACTTGAAGAGCTGTGGACTTCAATTCCCAGAATTCCCCAGTCAGCAGTGCTGGAATTGAAGTCCACCGGTCTTCAAGGGGCCAAGGTTGGGCACCCCTGATCTGGATCAAGAGAGATGCTAAGATGTGGGGAATCTGGGTTATCTGATTCGGTCCACTGTTCTACAGGCTGCATTGTGGTCGGCCCTCAGCCAGCTGCAGCTTTCCAGCCAAGACCACCAAGCTGGGACCCTCAGCTGCAAACCCGGAGCGACCCCCCCCCACTCACATGTACTCCGTGACGGGAGCATTGCTGACGGTATGCGCGGCTGCCGGGATGCTGGTTTCGCTGCCGTAACTGCTGCCACAGCTGTAGAGACTCGGCATGTGGACTCTGTACAAGTTGTCGTGAGTTTGCCGGTTCCCTTGAGCAGCTGATTCTTCCTCTCCATCGTCTTCGGTGCTCCTTGTGGAGAAGAAATGGAGAAAAAGTTCCCGACAGTGAGAACGATTAATCAGTGGAATGGCTTGAGTCCAGAAGTTGTGGGTGCCCCATCACTGGAGGTTTTAAAGCAGAGCCTGGACAGCCGTTTGTCTGAAATGGCACAGGGTCTCCTGCCTGAGCAGGGGGTTGGACTAGATGACCTCCAGGGTCCTATCCAACTCTTGTTATTCTGCTCGGTTCTTTTGTTATTCTGTTATTCAAGGACAATACCAGATCTGGATTCCAGACCGGCTCATTTGCAACCAACGCCACGAGGGGGCAGTCTACTGTTGCTATAGAAGGCAAATTGTGAGTCAGGGATGACACATCTACCACAACTGCAAGCAGGCTCCAGGTTTGGCAGCTGCAGAAAGTGGGGGCGTCCTGGGGGTTGGGGAGGTTGATCAGAAGCATCAAGGTGTCTCAGCTATGGCTATACAAATGTAGTCCTTGTCCTTTTTAAACACACACTGACTTCTCCCTACCTGCAGAAGAAGGGTTTTTTTTGTTTTTTTTTAAAGTTGTAGGTGCAACACAACCATCCTGATCATCCTTAGGAGTCATTCCTCCTTAAACTTTGCCATTTCTATTTAAATGTATTTCATGCAGCCTGCAGAGATCAGGGAAGGGGTGCCCTAAATATATAATATATATTTAGGGCGCCCTAAATATATAACACAAGCTAGGATGGTTCATTAGGTGGGCTGAATATACAAAACCAAAATTCACAAGCCGGTCCTAACACGGGGCTACACTCTCTCTCTCACTCTCTCCCCTCCCAATTTTTATTTTTATTTTTTTGCACACCTACCTCTTCTGCGTCCAAGTGTGTGGGACACTACACACTATAGAGCTGAACATCAGAGCCGTGACAAAGGAAAAGAGGACCAGGTAGATCAGTCCTTCTACACCATCATAACAGAAGCCGGTCAGAGCTTGGACATAATCCTAAAAAAGGAGATAAATACATTATAGGTCGTTCTTGACTTACAACAGTACATGTAGCGAGTATAAGAAGTCACTTAGGACCGTTTTTCACACTTAGGACCACTGCATCTTCCCCCTAGTCACGTGATCAAAATACAGAGGCTTGGCAACTGGCATGCACTTATGACAGTTGCGGCATCCCAGGGTCAATGGCGACCTTCTGACCAGCCAAGTCAAGGGGGGGGAGTCAGAGTCACTTAAGGTGGTAAAACAGGGCAAAAGTCGCTTCACCAACGCCTCACTTAGCAACAAAAAAATGGGCTCTCTTGCAGTCGTAACTCAACAACTACCTATATTTCAAAATTTGGGTGTCTGAACCACTCTAGGCGTCCTTGACAGACAGGTAGTTCTCGTCTTACAACCCCCCCCCCCCAAATGGGATCAGAATTTCCCCCGCTGAGAAAGGCAGTTGTTAAGTAGGTCGTGTTCAATTTTACGTATATATATATTTTTTGGGGGGTCATGATGGGGTTGAGCAAACCGCAGCGGTTGCTAAACGAAGCACATTTTTCTTAAGCAAATCTGCCTTCTCCCATTTGACTTTGCTGGTTGGAAGGGCCTCTGGGAAGGTTGCAAAGGGTGTGTGTGTGTGTGTGTGTGTGTGCGCTGCAATTGTCGTGAACACACACCGGTTGCCAAGCGCCAGAATTCTGGACCACCCTGACCGTGGGAATGCAGCAACGGTTGTAAATGCGAGGACCGGCTGTCGGTCACGGGTTTTTTTTCAGTGCGGTTGTGGCTGCGAACGTTCGGCGGTCTGCACGTACCAAGCACGCACTTCTGCTTACTCTGAAGGGCTCCTGAGTTCTCCTGCACAACTAGAGATGAATCCAGATGTGCCGAGAGGAGCTGTTGCATGGCAACGAGGAGGTTAAACCACATCTCTGCCACAGCCTGATCCCGTTCTTGGTTTCCCTCCAGGACAATCGCTAGATAACAAGCTTAGATCTTAGAGGGCTCGTCAGAACAGAACATGCCCAAGGCATCCTGGGCTGGAGCGTAATTTCCTTCAAGACTTGAACGAAGACGTGTGTCAGAAGGCGTCCTGGTCCTCCTCCTCCTCCTCCTCCCAGCTCCTGCTTCTCAAGAAGGTTCCTCCTCCGATTCTGCAGACAGTCGTTCTCCAAGGCCAGACAGCCAAGGACAAGAAGGAAAATCTAGCTGGCTGACAGGGAGGGCTTTTTTGAGGCCGGTGGGAAGGCCACCAGACTCATCGTAGGAGATAAGATTGACCACAGAAGGGGTTTCGGTTCCTGTGTGGAACGATGACATTCAGAAGAGCAGGAATGAGCTGGCGTCCTTGGCATGAGCTACGTGCCGTCTTATCACGGCTCAACTTTATTTTTCTTCTTTGAAAAAGGGAAGTGCAAACGGTCTCTGTTGACCTTCTCCAGTCAACGTGCTCTTCTTGATGTCCTTCAAACACAGCTCTGCAGCCACCGGGGCCTACCGCAGCGTTCCTCAGCCTCAATTAAACTGTAAGGTGGGGTGGGCTTCAATTCCCAGAATTCCCCAGCCAGCCCAGCTTCTGGGAGTTGAAGTCCACCTATCTTAAAGTGGTTGAGGCGGAAGGTTCCTCACCAAGGTTCGCCATCCTTCCGACGGACTCACCAAATGAAAACTCCGACAGTCAACCAAAGCGGTCAGATGCTGCAGGTTGACTTCTGTGGCGTTCAGCACTTCTTGAATTCGGATCAGGTGCTCCTGTGAATCGAGAGGACAGGAAGACGGTTCAGCCTCACTTTTTCTCCTAGCGAGATCGCAGAACGAAAACGAAGTCTGGAACACCAGCTTTTCAAAGACTGGATCCAGCGTTACCTTAGAGGTAGGATGTTCCTTAACGGCCAACTTCAGGAGCTCCAGAACATCATCCTGCATTTCTACCAGGGCTTTGTGGCTCACTGACAGCTTCTGTTCAACACAGAAATAATATTTCGGTCTTTCAAGTCAAACCCGGCTAGTCTGTGGGGTCCTTGGTGCTCACAGAGCTTGGGGGTTTTCTTGCAGACGTTTCATGACCCAACTAGGTAACGTCTTCAGTGCTAGAGGTTTGCCCCTACTCCTTCTAGCACCGATGATGTTACTTAGTTGGAGCATGAAACATTTGCAAGAAAACAGCCAAATTCAGAGAGCACCAAGGACCCCCCAGTCCTCCTCCTCCTCCTCTCTGCAACCTCCCCTTTCTTCTAATACTGATAATGTTCCCTACTTGGTTCATGAGACGTCTGCAAGAAAACCACCAAGCTCAGAGAGCACCAGGGACCCCACAGTCCTCCTCCTCCTCCTCTCTGCAACCTCCCCTTTCTTCTAATACTGATAATGTTCCCTACTTGGTTCATGAGACGTCTGCAAGAAAACCACCAAGCTCAGAGAGCACCAAGGACCCTACAGTTCAACCCAGAGCTATATTCTCTTCCACTGGTTCCAGCTAGCCTGCCTGCACTGGGTGCATTTTAATGGCCGTTCTCCTGAACTCTTGAAACATCAGCTACCGTGGGTTATTGACTGTTCAAGAAAGTGAGTTTGGCAAAGTTAGAACCAACAGACCCGAAGTACAGGAAGGAGAACACGGGTTCAAAATTCTCCTTTGGTAACGAAGCGCGAACCAGTCCCTCTAACCTGCCTCTAGGGACTGCAACCAAGCCATCCGTCTGTCCTTGAAGGGAAACTGTAATCAATCACTGGAAATTGTTTTATTCTTCCTGTTTCCCTGCCTCTTAGGTCTTTCATTCAAAAAAGAAGATTGGGGGGTGGGGGTTTGAGAAGAGCAAAAGAGGGTTGTTTTTTTTATGGTGTCCTGCCAAGGAAGACAGCTGTGTGACCACCTCAAAAGCTTCAACTTAATTAGCAGCCCTCCCTTCCTTTCGTCTCCTTTATCTCGTCATACTAGTATGACATTTCTTTTGACAGCCAGCCCTTCTGTTACCCATCGCTTTCATTCCAGCTGGCAAGATGCTGCTTTTGATCAGATTTAAAACACACACACACACACACACACACACACACTGGCATTTAGGAGAACGCCAGCCATGTGGTCTGTATGAAGACTTCTGGTGATGAAGAGCCATAGTGGCGCAGTGGTTAGAAGGCAGTATTGCAGGCTGACTCTGCCCACTGCCAGGAGTTCGATCCCGACCTGCTCAAGATTGACTCAGCCTTCCATCCTTCCCAGGTCGGTAAAATGAGGACCCAGACTGTTGGGGGCAACAGGCTGACTCTGTAAACCGCTTAGAGAGGGCCGTGAAGCACTGTGAAGCGGTATATAAGTCTAAGTGCTATTGCTATGTCAAAGCACAGCTTAACGGAAGCATCTCAGATTAACAGAATGTGAGAGTTGGAAGGGACCTTGGAGGGCTTCTAGTCCAACCTTTGTTCAAGCAGGAGACCCTAAGCCATTTCAGACAATTGGTTATCCAGTCTCTTCTTGAAAACCTCGTGTGTTGCAGCACCCACTACTTCTACAGCAGAGGTCCACAACCTTTGGGGCACCAGGGACCGGTTCCGTGGAGAAAGGTTTTTCCACGGACCAGAGAGTGTGTGGTTTTCTGTGCTGCCTGCATCCCACAGATGGGGCTTTGCTTGTTTGTGCCGACCGGTTGCTGGCATGCCACCGGTCCGTGGACCAGGGGTTGGGGATCTCTGTTCTAGAGGGAATCCTTCCACTGATTAATTGTTCTCACTGTCAGGAAATTTCTGTTCAGTTCCAGATTGGTTCTCTCCTTGATTAGTTTCCATCCACTGCTTCTTGTTCTGCCTTCGGGTACTTTGGAGAATGGGTTGACTCCCTCTTTCTTTGGGGCAGCCCCTCAAATATTGGAAGACTGCTATCATGTCACCCCTAGTCCTTCTTTTCATTATAACTAGACACAATCAAATTCCTGCAGCCGTTCTTCCTATGTTTTAGCCTCCAGTCCCGTAACCATCTCTGTTGCTCTTCTCTGCACGCTTTCTATAGACTCAACATCTTTTTTATATCGCGGTGACAAACCCTGGATGCAATATTCCAAGCATGGAACTTGAGGATACTCACCTGCTGAAAGGGATTGGGGTAGCCAGCACCACAGACCAGGTAATAGTTCAACGTATCTATCAAAAGGGTCAACAGAGAATTATCAGTCAAGGCTTGTAGGTGGACTTGGTTACCTTGTACTATTCTTGAAGAAGTAAATGGGTTTTGTTATGGACAACCTGCAATGGGATATCTTAGAAGACTGTTTCAAATGTTTTCCGTGTGTTTTACAAGGAAATGTAGTTAAGGTGGGCTTGAAAAGTGAACGTCCTCCTATGAATAGAGATGCACTACGAATCTGTTGTTGATGTCCCTAAGTGGATTTCCCCCCAATGGGATTTTCCCCCCCAATGGGATTTTCCCATGTATTTTGCCAGGGAATGGAGTTAAGGCAGGCTCAGATAATATGCACCCTCCTAACCATACCCATGGGCTCCGAATCCGTTGGCGAAGTCCATTTTGCCCTCCGAATTCATGGACACCTAACCCTAATCCTAAGTGGGCTTGCCCTCCAATGGGATTTTCCCGTGTATTTCACCAGGAAATGTGTATAAGGCAGGCACAAAAAGTCAGTGCCCTCCTAAGCATATCGACGGGCTACAAATCTGTTGGCCTTTGAAGTGCAAAAAGCCGGGATCAACCTGCCGAAATAATGAGTCCCATTTTCGCTCCCACTGGGGATTTTCACATCTGCCTTCATCTGATAATGATAAAGCACAAGTCCAGCGTGGGGCGCTGGACTCTTTGAATTATATTTCCACCCACTGTGCTTTTTCCTTCTTATTAGAGGGAACTTGGCATGTTCTAAGGAAGAGCGGGCTTCATTATGAAAAACCTGGGTAGGCTGCCCTTTCTTGAGAATTTGGTCTCCTGCACGTAGACAGATCCACTCCGATAAAAATAGAAGTTTATGAGAAAAGGAAGTCACCTTCTTCTTCCTCTCCTTCTCCTCCCTTTTCTTCTCCATCATTCCTTCTCCCTCTCCTCCTCCACCATTCCTTCTCCTTCTCTCCACCATTCCTTCTCCCTCTCCTCCATTTCTTCTCTCTCTCCTCCTCCTCCATTCCTTCTCCTTCTCCTCCTTCTCCACCATTCCTTCTCCTTCTCCTCCTTCTCCACCATTCCTTCTCCCTCTCCACCATTCCTTCTCCCTCTCCTTCTCCTCCTCATCCTCCATTCCTTCTCCCTCTCCTCCATTTCTTCTCCCTTTCCTTCTCCTCCATTCCTTCTCCCTCTCCTCCTCCTCCTCCTCCTCCTCCATCTTTCCTCCTCCTCCTCCACCATTTCTTCTCCTTCTCCCTCCCATCCTCCATCTCCCCCTCCTCTACCATTTCTTCTCCCTCTCCTCCTCCCCCTCCACTACCCATTCTTCTCCTTCTCTTCCCCCCCCCCTCTTTTGGAGAAGACATAAATATTTGAACAACCATATCTGAGGAGGCTTTTTTGCTACCCACGTTTCTCAGAATGTCTTTTAAGAGGCATCAGCAGCTTAAAAAAAAAAACACCCGCTAAAATGTAGGTGTTCAAGCTTGGCAACTTTAAGACCTGTGGACTTCAATTCCCAGAATTCCCCAGTCAAAAATGGGAGTTGAAGTCCACAGGTCTTCCCCAGAATTCTCCAGCTATTCTGGGAGTTGATGTCCACAACAGGTCTTAAAAGTTGCCAAGCTTGGATACCACCTCTGTACTAAAGCGTAAGGAACTAAAACAAGGCATCATCCCTTCTGCTTGTGAGAAAGAAAGGGGAAAAAGACAACAACCCAAAACCATCACAGGCGTGAAAGTTAGGCAAAACTCATGGTTAGAATTGGATCCTCTCTTTTTCTTTTTTGTTGGCTTGGCAAAATCTGCAAAATCCGCGTGATTTCTTTCAAAGAAGCCCAGGAAATGTACAGCCACACTTGGCTGAAGTGCAAAACACCCTTATAAGATACCGACGGCTCATTTTGCTAGCTAGGGGAACCGAAAGAGCTGTTTCGTTCCTTCCTTCCCAAATTCCAAAATAGAGAACCTGACCAACAAGAAGCGGAAGCCCGCGGTGCATACGTTTGCACCAAATTTACAAATCAATTCAGCTTTTGTGCAAAAGACTCTGTCTGATTTGGTGGTTTGGATGTTTAACAATAGGTATTTGAGGATGCCGATAGTCCTTAACTCACAACTATTCATTTAGCAACGGTCTGGAGTTACAACGGCATTGAAAAAAAGGGACTTATGACTGGCCCTCACACTTACAGCCGCTGGGGTCATGCAATCAAGGTCAGGACCTTGGCAATCGGCATGCATTTATGATGGCTGCTGGAGTCCTGAGGTCGTGTGATCACCTTTTGATGACCTTCCCACCCAGCCAACCAAGTCAATGGGGAAAGATTCACTTAACAACCGAGTGATTTACTTAACAACCGCAGTGATTGGTCTAACAACTGTGGCCAAAGAAGACTGTAAAATCAGGTACAACTGTTAGCAATGGAAATCCTCACCTCGGTTACGGTCGTAAATCACTACCTATAATTCCTCTTTCATTGTTCCATTTCCTACTATTTGAAGTGCAAAACACAAAGGAACGTACCGCAGATCCACCCACACTTTCTGCAATCCTTGGTTTTCAAATCCCTCCGACGTCTGCCCGGATCTCTTAAAATCCCAACGCAGTCCCACTTCTCTTACCTGCATTCAACACGCTGTAGGCTTCCACCGTCCTGGACACGTAAGCATCGGGGTTAATGCAAAAGTCGCTGGAACCCTAAAAAGCAAAGAAAATCCCAGGAAATTCACAAAAGGCCGGCCACGCGCCCTGCAAAACAGGGGCCTGCTCCCACGTGGGAGAACATTTGAGAAAGAAGGAATCAAAAACGATGCTTGAATGGCTTTACCCAAAAGTCTTAGCCACCAATTGTGGCTTATAATGGTAAGTCAACCAGATCAAAGTCTCTTTTGTACGGCTCCGTGGAGACGACGCGTTCCCGTCAACTAATTCTCGGGCTGAGCATCCAGCAGAGAAGGGGTGCCAGTGAGGGCCGTTCTTTGGCCTGGTGAAATTAAAATACTCACCACAGCCACCGCCAGCTCAAGTCCCAGCGACGCCCAGCTCACCGTTAGGGCCAGCACCCCGAGAAGACACACACTGCGGGAGGAAAAGGAGCAGATTCAGTGGCCAGACACATTGGCTCCAGTTGCGGTGGCTTAATCTGCCCTGAAGATTGTAATTCAGAGTTCAAACAGAATGGGGGGAAAAAGGACCATTGATAGTGGCCACATCTGGCAATTTAAAGACACGGCCCATTCGAAGCAACTCCCTGCATCCTTAACACAACACTCCTATCAGCAGCGGATTTCTTTACAAGGCAGCAGAATCGCAGTTATCTGGCAGAAGTTGTGAGAATCCCAACCTCCCACTCTGCTCCCCCCCACCCCACCCCCAAGGAACGTCTTTCAAGGCCTTCAGGTTTTCTGGATCCATGAAAACTCCCTCCTTCAGGGGCCAGAACCTGAAGGAGGCCCAAGATACGAGGACGATTCAGCATCCACACTTTTGGACCAAACATTTGGAGTCGGGTCCGAGGAGGCAGTTAAGGCCAAAGTGCAAACTGAGCTTTTACAAATCCTTTTTGCAACTTCTCAAGGCATAACCAAAGTCAATTCTCTTTGCAAAGCAAGTAGAAAGAGATTTCCACTGGTTTAAAAAAAAAGGCATTTTACTAAGATGGCAATTTGCATGGCTGGCTACATTAAGAAAACCTCATACCCATTTCTCCCCCCCTCCCCCTAGATATTGGAAATCAAACTGAGAATTTCTGTGGATTAGTTTTATTTTTTGAATAGGGAGGACAATATAGAAGGGATTACACCTTATCAAAATACACTTCAAAGCTACGTCTTGCTTCCCTGTAGCAGCTCTGCTGCCTCGTTTCATTTAGCAAGTTTTTCCACTTGGGGCTACTGAGTAAGTTTTTACGATAATCGTTTTATACTCAGAAATGCTCAATTGACACCCCTGCATTCATTATAAGCTCATGTCTAAACAAAGACCAAGTTCAATGCATACTTCTAGACTTATAAAGCTAGAAACTGACGCAACCTGGATGTTCTTGGAATACAATTATGTATCGTTCAAATGAGGGCTCTCCAAACTTGGCAACTTTAAGTCTTGTGGACTTCAATTCCCAGAATTCCCCAGCCAGCCATGCCAAATTGCCAAGTTTGGAGACCCCCTTGCTTTAAATTATCAGTGTCCAATGAATTATGAACATGTAGTCTACACACTTGGCCATATTAAACAGGTCTATTATCTTAGCCTACAGCCCATCTATCAAAACAAGAGCAGGAAGCTTTCAAATACAACACTGTTTAAATCCACGGCAACGCACACCAGGAAACATCCTACATCAAATGATCTATCTGCATTTCTTCTCAAATAGCTTCACAAACAAAGACCCTCCGTTACAACAGAAGAAGAATTGATTTTAACGATCTTCAAGGGCTTTTTCCTGACACCAACTCACCCAATGAGAATGGCCTTTGAGTTTCTGATTAGTCCAAATAGCACCAGCAGACAAATCACAACATGGAACATGAGCAGGCCCAGATAGCCCAACCATCTATGGGGAAAGCAATATATAGATGGTTAAAGACACAAAAACGTATGTATAAAAATCATAGGCAAGGATTGGAGAAATCATAGGACCGTTGGTTCCAGGAGTCTGGGTAGGTATCTTTGGGTTCTGAGAAGTCAACGGTACAAAGACTTGATTGTTTCTGAAAGACTTGATTGTTTCTGATTGTTTCTGAATCTTTTTAGCATCATTTTCAAGGCAATTCAGATCTTAAATTATTATTTTTGACCAATGTTCCCAAACATTTCCATCCGTAGGGAAAAGAAAACAAACCACCTTGGCCTGTAGGTTACATAAGAAGCCACACTTTTTATGGGTCACACATTCCCTCATAGGTCATACGTCCACATAGGTCATACATTCAATGGCGTCCTCATCAAACTACAGCTAGACCAAAGTTGACTCCCTCAGTGCAATGACATCCTCATTTGTCCACCATCTTCGTGGACAAACCCCCTCCCTCCAGACTGAGATGAAATAAAAGCAGGGTTACATCCTACTCACCTGTACCAGTCGTACAGGTCAATCCGAATGGCCAAGTCTTCTAATGAAACCTGGTGGTTCTTCCAGAAAGGAATCTCTGTGGTTTGTCTTACCAGGTCATCCAAAAGTCCCTGGAGCTTTTGAACCACGTGCAGATACTGCGTCTGCTTACTGAATATGATCTCCAGGTCTCCTAAATTGGGCTCTGCGGTTTTGTTTAGCGCAATGGCGGTGTCATAAACCTGGAGGTGCAGATAGAGCGGTGTTCAGTTGGCATTCTTTGAAGGACAAGAAGTTAAGTGGAAGTTGGGCTTCAAGAGAGGGCGCCTTAAGGCAGCAATATTCAATGTGTTTCCTCAGCTTGTTCAACGGATGGAATGGTGCAATGGATGGAAACTAATCGAGGAGAGAACTCACAAGTCAATGAGACTTTGAGGACCACAGTTGATCACTTCTGGACCTGTCCCCCATCCGTGGGGACAACCACTCACCCGGTCTTGGACACTGGCCACTGTGCGGTTGGCATGTCGTAGGGAATATGTCACCCGGTGGATGCCATCACTGGTCTCCCCGTTCCCGTAGAAGCCCACTGCTATGCCAGCACTGCAGAGAGACAGAAGACCACAAGGAGATAATCCCCACCTACTCCGACAGATGCCCACTGAATCAGCTGGCTTCAGACTTATGACTGTGTGATTGGCTTAACGACTGTATTGTCGTTAAGTCAAGGGCCACCTTTACTGCGCATCCTTGGCGCATCCCCCACGAAGAAAGAGGCAACAGAGCATTACATATCCTCTTCTTCAGGCCTGGAAGAGTTAAAAACCACATCCTCTCCTTCTGCTTCCTGCTATCCGACTTGGAAGAGCTGCGACAAAAATATGGTCCTGATGATTAATTCCTTATATACCCACAAGCTATAAATATCCGCCTCAGAGACAGTTCTGGGCTATATTGAGTCTCCAAGTAGCAAGGGGGGGGCCTGGGGTACCAAAAAAAAGGGGGGGTTGTGGAGAGGAATGGCAGGCACGGAATTGAGGATTAGGGAAGCCCCTTCTTTCCTCAGTGATGCTCAATAATAATAACAATAATAACAATAATAATGTGTCTTTAATTAAGAGGCGTTTCACACGTTGAGTCCTCCGAGCGCAGCCCACACCTTAAAAGTTACTCTTGAGGACCGAGCTAATTCTCACATTTAATTACCGCCTTATTCTCCAACCGCTAGGAGAAGGTGCTATTTGGAGGCGAGATGTAAAACCTCTCCTTTCCCATCCAACATGCTGGCGCCCCCAACGACACAGAGAGAAGTCTACCATTCGAATCCACCCCACATCCCCATCTCGTGGCTGTCTACTTCCTGCCCTCTTGGTTCCCCCGTTCTTAAGTTCCACCCTCCCCTCCTGTTTCCGGAGAGCTGAGTGCAGGTTGCAAAATCTGTCAGGAAACATGCTGAACACATCACAAAGGGCAAGTGGTTTCCTTCTTCTCCTGGTGAGCCCCACGAGTTCAAAAACTCAGCAGGGCAGTTAAGGAAGTTGATGGAAACTTGTACCAATAATGGAGAATATTTGCAGCTCTGGGCCGAAATGAAGGGTTCTAGCGCTCTCTGAGCTTGGTTGTGTTTTTTTTTTATTATTATTATTTATTCAATTTATATCCCGCCCTTCTCCTTACCGGACTCAGGGCGGCTGACAGCCTTATAAAACAGATACTACAATAAATACCTAATTTAAAACCAAATTAAAAAGAAATATTTACTATGGCCTATATAATTAAAATTTCCCTTAAAAACCCCACTAAAAATTCCCTAGGCCAATCCCGCTTGTTGGAAGAGCCATGTCTTTAGGGCGCGGTGGAAGGAGGGGAGATCCGGGATCACCCGGATCTCTGGGGGCAGTTCGTTCCAGAGGGTGGGGGCTCCCACCGAGAAGGCCCTCCCCCTGGGGGTCGCCAGCCGGCACTGTCTGGCCCACGGCACCCTGAGGAGACCCACTCTGTGGGAGCGTACAGGCCGATGGGAGGTAATCTGCGGCAGAAGGCGGTCTCGGAGATATCCAGGTCCGATGCCATGGAGCGCTTTGAAGATGATGACCAACACCTTGAAGCGCACCCGGAAGTCATAAGTTTTCTTGCAGATGTTTCATTACCCAAACTAGGTAACATCATCAGTGCTGGAAGGGAGGGGTTTGGAAAGAAGAGAAGGAGAAGGGGAGGACTGGGGGGGGGTCTTTGGTGTTCTTTGAGCTTGGTTGTCTTCTTGCAGATGTTTCATTACCCAACTAGGTAACATCATCCGTGCTGGAAGGGAGGGGTTTGGAAAGAAGAGAAGGAGAAGGGGAGGACTGGGGGGGGGGGGTCTTTGGTGTTCTTTGAGCTTGGTTGTCTTCTTGCAGATGTTTCATTACCCAACCAGGTAACATCATCAGTGCTAGTTAGGAGAGTAACTAGGTTTTTGGGGGTTTTTTTGCAGATGTTTCATTGGGAATGAAATGTCTGCAAGAAAACAGCCGAGCCCAGAGAGCAACAAGGCGCCCTCATGAAACTTGTCTGGCATTTGCAAGTGCCAACCGAGCACAGAACAGCCTTGATGTGTGAGGCTTTGAATTCAAATATGGAGGGAAGGCTTGTGAAGTTGGAAAAAGACACAGCTGCATTCAAAGCACTGCAGGAAGCGGCCACGTTAATGCTCCTGCACATTTTTGAAGTCCAGTTTTGGAACTGAATTTGAAGTGTTGCACAACGCTTTGTAAATCTATCCAATGATAATCAGTGGAGATAATTAAGACCGCCTTGGCAGAACTACAAATATCCAAAGGGAGAATTTGATAGAACATGATTGCAGAATTCCAGTATTTGAGGGACTGCCACAAAGAAGAGGGGGTCAACATATTTTCCAAAGCACCAGAAGGCAGGACAAGAAGCAACGGATGGAAACCAATCAAGGAGAGAAGCAACCTGGAACTAAGGAGAAACTTCCTGGCAGCGAGGACAATTAACCAGTGGAACTGCTTGCCTTCAGAAGTTATTGATGCTCCATCATTGGAGGTTTTTAAGAAGAGACTGGACAGCCACTTGTCTGGAATGGTATATGGTCTCCTTGAGTAGGGGGTTGGACTAGAAGACCTCCAAGGTCCCTTCCAGCTCTATCCTGAATTAATTTGAGAAATCCTAGAGTTTGTTACATAAATGGAGCAAGCCGCCATTCTGGAATTCCTCAGATCCAAACAGATTTGTTACTTGGGTCCTGCTCCTTGTAGGAAACCCAACTGCATCTTGGTTAAGTCTCCAGCCCATCGTTCTTCAGATGGGGTAAGACTTACCTGCACACTAGAGTTGCAATGATGACACACCACGCCGTACAGCAACAATCCGCATTCAGTTGTTCTTCACTCTTCCGATGGTGACAACACAGCCAGAAGGAGTAAAAGAGGAGGAACAGGAGATCCAGAGCGAGGCACATCAAAGAGACCGCTCCCAACAGCAACAAGGCCTGAAGAGTTAACAACAAATTGAGTTGAGCAACAGGAGCTTACACAATGCAAGTTGGACAATGATTGATAGCAATTCTGAACAATGAATGACAAGGGAAGACCTTGCTGATAATGTTGGAAATCTGTGTCTACCTATAATCTCATTAAAACAGTTCACAACGCTCACTCTTTCCCTTAATGTTCAAGAGAAGATTACTTTAGGCTACATGTGTATTCCTATTCAGGGTCATCCAAGGGAAGGGGAGAGGGTCAAGACGAGAAGAGCAACAAGATGATCAGGGGGCTGGAGGCTAAAATATACGAAGAACGGTTGCTGCAATTGGGTATGTCTAATTTAATGAAGAGAAGGACGAGGGGGGACATGATAGCAGTGCTCCAATATTTGAGGGGCTGCCACAAAGAAGAGGGGGGGGGGGTCAACCTATTTCCTGAAGGCAGAACAAGAAGCAACGGATGGAAATTCATCAAGGAGAGAAGCAGCCTAGAACTAAGGAGGAATTTCCTGACAGTGAGAACAATTAATCAGTGGAACTGCTTGCCTCCAGAAGTTGTGGATGCTCCAATACTGGAGGTTTTTAAGAAGAGATTGGACAGCCATTTGTCTGAGATGCTATAGGCTTTCCTGCTTGAGCAGGGGGTTGGACTAGAAGACCTCCAAGGTCCCTTCCAACTCTGTTATTCTGTTAAAATCTGTCAAAGAAGTCAAGTCAAATGTGTAATCAAACTTTTGACTTTTTTTACAGGGATCATCACATCTGTAGCACCTATATAAAAGGGGCCCTCTTTCTACTGCACACTTCTGACTTGCCTTTTTTAAAACCCTACTACCTATAGGTACCCCAGTCCCTATATATATATATATATATATTCCTTAGATGGAGGGTGAGTGTGTATGTTGTAGACCCACAAAGCAAGCAGCAAAATCAGACTTGACAGCAAAATTCAGATTATTAACTCCTCGGTTCTAAGACTTTGACAAAAGTGATACATCTCTGAAAATGGTTAGCCTCGGGGCAAGAACAGATAGTCTCTTAATCTATAAAATGTTTAGGCTGGGTTATTATTGGATGACTTTTTCTGTACGGAGGAAAAGAGAGAGAGACTGGATTATTTTCCCATGCAAATAACCATCACTCTAAGAACTAGAATGAGAGAGAGAGAGAGAAAGAGGGGAAGAAGAGAGAGAAAGAGAGAAGAGAGAGAAAAAAGAGAGGGAGAGAGAGAGAGAGAGACCAATGAATAGACAACATTTTTTTTTTACAATGCAGTATAAACTCTCTAAGAATTTACACCTTCTACTCAGCGGTGGGCAATTCATCCCTAGAGATCTTCTCAGGATGATCCACTGGGTTTCACCTAGACTTCCTGACTAACCAGCTCTGGACCAGCCTCTCTCGTACCACCACAAGGGACAAATCCATTGCCCAAAGCATCTAGGCAGAAGATAAGAGTCCAATATATTAAAGAGTTTTCCCCTAAAGAGAGAGCACCAGAAAAGAACATCTCCCATCCATTGTTGGCAACTCAACCACAACCTTGTTCAAAAATTAATATAAAAATGAAAAATAGCAGATGATTCCTTTCCTGGCGTCATTTGAGCTAGATTTTAGAGTCCAGGTGGCTGGACAATCTGCTGCTATCTGTTGTGCTCAGGAACTGCTTACTTGTATATCGATTCTGTGTTGATGTATACTTTTTATGTCAATATGATAGTATCCATTCTGTTTTGCTAGTTTTTATGTTTCATGTTTCTGGGCTGATTTTATTATTATTATTATTATTATTGTTGTGAGCCACCCAGAAGTCATAATTGGGTGACATACAAATGCTGTAAATAAGTAAGTAAGTAAATACAGAAGCACCTTGTTGAGCAAGAACCTGCTCTGAAAATTATTATGTTTCTGCAGGATTGATCCTCTTTTCTATTACCTCGGTAATGGGCTGATTGCTTCTCCACAGAACAATAATTTTAGAAAAATATCTGCCACACTCTGAGTGACATTTCTACAGGCATCTCCCCAAAGACGAAGCCATGATTAAATGAAGCTTGGCTTCTGGCAGCTTGTCAAGTTAATACACTTGCTAAAAAGATTTTCTTGCAGAGGCTTTTTTTTCTCCTTCCTTCCTTCCTTCCTTCCTTCCTTCCTTCCTTCCTTCCTTCCTTCCTTCCTTCCTTCCCTTCCTCTTTTCTTTCTTTCTTTCCTTCCTTCCCTCCCTTCTCATTCCTCTTTTCCTTCCTTCCTTCCCTTCCTCTTTTCTTTCTTTCTTGCCTTCCTTCCCTCCCTCATTCCTCTTTTCCTTCCTTCCTTCCCTTCCTCTTTTCTTTCTTTCTTTCTTTCCTTCCCTCCCTCCTCATTCCTCTTTTCCTTCCTTCCTTTTCTTTCTTTCCTTCCTTCCCTCCCTCCTCCCTCATTCCTCTTTTCCTTCCTTCCTTCCTTCTCTTCCTCTTTTCTTTCTTTCCTTCCTTCCCTCCCTCCTCCCTCCTCATTCCTCTTTTCCTTCCTTCCTTCCCTTCCTCTTTTCTTTCTTTCTTTCCTTCCTTCCTTCCCTCCCTCCCTCCTCCCTCCTTCCTCTTTTCCTTCTTTCCTTTCTTCCTGGTTCTAAGTGCTGTACCAAATCGATGGACCCGAAAGGTTTTCCCAGCAGGAGATGCTGCCTCTTAAAGACTTGCAGGTATTTTATAAACACGGAGAGGTGAGCTAATCTCTTGGAGTAGATCCAAAAAGCCAATGAAAGAAGCAGTTTTGAGGATTTTCAACTCAGACCAGAGGGAAGAACGGAAACAGAAGAAAGAATCAGCCAAAAGCAGCACAAAAGTCATGCCTCAAACAAGAACCGGAAATTTGGACCTCTTTAAGACCTTACTTTCACTCGGCTCTGGACCCAGGCTAGATGGGGTGTCCTTTTCTTTGAGTTGGCCAAGACAATTAAGGGTTGTGTGGATGACGGTCTATCCTTGGTGACACACCCAGAGAAAAGATTCTGCAGGATTTCCAACCTGCTTGAATATCAAACGTCCCAAGAGGAAAAGAGCCAGGAAATTAAGAGCGAAAATACTCCGTAATTAGAGGGATTGATTCTTGTGGGACTGGAGTAGCTGATGGAGTTGGGCACCAAAAGTAAATTGTATTATCTGTTCTATCATTAGTCAATTCCAAAGAGAGGCGCACGTGTCCCGTGGTCCACCTCCTGCTGGCAGCATCCATCCCGAATGGATCAATAAAAGCTTCCCTTCGCAAGACAGGCATACCGAAGCGCCTGACTCCAGCAAATATTTTTAGAAACGCAACTCGTGCGTCTCAAAATACTTTTTTTTCTTTTTGGCACCACACAAATCATTCACAAGTCGGTGCAGGTGCAAAGAAAGGAGCTGTTGTGCGGAGCGCTGTTCTTTCGTGTCGGCGTGGCGTCTCTCGAACGAGTGTCCCGTCTCTAAAACCCAAAGGTGAGGCTGGAGTCCATTTGGGGTCCCATTCTGCTTACAGGACAGGCCCCC